TGGGGTGGACAAGGTCAGAAGTTACACGACACCAGGTTATAGTCCAACAGGTTTATTTGAAATCACATAACGTTTCAGACCGCCTTTCTGTCTTTCGTTACCTGATGAAGGAGCAGTGCTCTGAAAGCTAGTGGTTTCAAATAAACCTGGTGTCGTGTGACTTCTGACTTTGCCCAAGGTAAGCAAGACCTGGGTGAGGTTACAAATGTTTGTGGTTCTCCTAGCTGTCTAAGTCTGTATGATCAGCTCATACTTGCCAATCCAGTCAGGTGCTCAATGTTAAATTAATTATTAATACCACAAGCGTGAGTTTCCCTAGTCTCTATTGAAGGGATAATATCCAGTCACAGATTAGAGATTAAAGGTTTCTCATAGCACCAAAAGCACAGTTTCAGTTCACGCTCAATTCCAGAATGTTTGACGGGGCTATTTGTCATTGTTCATTCATTTCAAGCTACCTTTAAAATACTTCCTGCAAAGGTACTGCAAGACAAATAAACTCTGCATATTTCTGTCATGCTGAGGTAACTCAATGTTATTATAATTAAGCAGCTCTTCCTTAAGCCTTTTCCTCACCTGGTTGCTGTTCTGTAACTACAAAACTAAAAAAGAAATATTTTATGAAGAGATTCAAACTGAGGAGTCTTCAAGCTAATCCACATCCAACAACTTGCTCTGAAAACTCTGCTCACATTTTGACAGCTGCAACAGAATGCATCATAGCTGCTGAGGCAATCTGCAACATTCTAACTAAAACCGGACGGTTTCAAAAAGGACAGTTTGCCTAACTCCTGATGTTAACAAATCCTTTAAAATATTCTGCATCTCTTTTTACCAGAATCCAATCAGTTTATCCTTTCTCCTACCCTAAATATGTTCCATTTTTTGTTGAACTCTATGCATTAGTTTTGAGGATACATTGTTGGCCTGTTTGTCTTTAAGCAAACAAGTGAATCATTACTTCCCCACAAGTCCAGTGGTGAAGGCAGTTTGTCACTGGATGAATAGTCCAGTGATTGAGATCGCATATTCCAACAAGAAAAGCTTCAGAGTTTGAATCAGGTGAAAATTATCAACAAAATACAAAACTGGTGTTAGTATAGTGGCTGATGGTTCACTAGTGTCCCATAGGGAAAGAAATCTGTTACCCATTGGTCTTGTTATACGACTAGAGATCCACACTGATGGCATTTACTCCTCAATTCTCTCCGAAATGGTTTTGACAGACATTCCATCCTCCCAAACCTGCTGTAGACAGAAAT